GGCTCGATTTCCGAATTTCCCTATTTCTTGGCCAGAGTCAGTTCTTTGATTCGATCGTGACCCTGGTTGGTGATGATAGGTTATCGCTTGTGGACGCTCTTGATACAGTGAAGTCGTTCCATATGAGGTAACTATAAAATGATGATTTACAGAGATTTTCTTATCAAACATTGGTTTATTGGTTAAATTTTAGGACTGTTTTTAGATTTTTTTACTGGCTAAAGTCTAGAACTTTAACAATTGTATTATTTCAAAACAGAAAGCTAAGGGCAATCTTATTTGGTGTTTAAATAATGGTTTGATTGGTATGAAATCTCACTATTTTTCCGATTCTTGAAACTCGTAAACAAATAAAGTCAAGAACACTTTTCTAAAAACAATGAAACCGGGTTTGCTCAATTTTTGTTATTTCGAAATTTTGTCAACTTTTGCCTATTGGAAATCTGCCACTTGGACATCTGTGACACGTTATATTGTACGAATTTCTACAAGAACATAATGACCTCTAGTGTTCAGCTAATATTAAAAATGTGAAAGAAGAAGCTCCATGTGCAAACTGGTTTGAGCATCGTCGAAAATTTGCATAAACTTGGGCTTAAATCAAAATTAGAGACTGGGATTCGACATGACTTAACAGAGGGGCCTAGAAGTAGAAAGGCCCGCGGTTTATCCCGTCCGATCTGCCAAGTCAAGCAACGTCGGCGCGGGATAGTCGTGGGTTCCCCAGCCCGGCCATTGGAGTATCATCGGCTACGACAACTACACTTCTGCCTCAGTACCCCGCACGGCCTCTCTGCTCTCTTCCGGCATCGAGGGATCAAGCAAAGGCCGAGAGGCGATCCAACCTCGGGACATCAGGATGCCATATGGACAACGGACCAAGGAACGGAACTCAACGACAAAGCCCAAGCCTCCGACTCTGCACTTTCAACGCCAGGACAGCCGCCTCGCAAGCCGATAAGACTACACTCCATGAGATCATCTCTCCACGACTCGCAGTCCTCCACCTCAAGCCACCGAGAAACGCGACATCACCGTCTACAGCTGCTACGCCCCAACCTCCGCAGCCGAGGAAGACGAACGAGAAGCCTTCTACGAAGACCTCGAAGCAACACTCAGGAAAGACAGCAGCTTCTACAAGTTCGTGCTCGGAGACTTCAACGCGGTCATCGGGAACAGCGGCACCGGCGGAGTCGGAAAGTTCGGACTCGGCACATGCAACGGCGACCGTCTAGAAGAGCTACTATGGTCAGCAAAACTCACTCACGGAAACTCTCAGTTCTCGGGAGACCACACTACGACCACACCACACACACACAACGAAGACTACGACACCATGGTCAAGAACCTCAAGGAATTCGAGAAGAAGTGCAGTGTGCCACAGACCAAAAATCAGAGGATCTCAGGCGCGACCAAGGAGCTGCTCAAGATGAAGATCCACATCAAGAACAACACCAACTCCACAGAGCTGGACAGAAGAAATACTGACAGTCCTCCCAGCCAAAATCAGAGCAGCCATCGCCACCATCAAGACTGGAACAACACCAGGGCTAGACAACATCAAGATAAATCTACTCAAGGCTGAAGGAGGAGACATACACAAGCTGTTGGCCGAACGCTTCACCACCTACCTCCACAACCAGAGGATGCCTGACCACTGGCGAGAAGCAAGCTAGCCTGGCCTATCCTAGCCTGGCCTATCCTAACCTGGCTTATCCTATCCTCGTCCATTGAATTGCTTTGAGTCCTAACTAGGTTTGGTCTAACCTAAGCCTAAGCCTAAGCCAAGGCATGATCCGACTTTGGTCTGGCCTTAGCCTGCCTCTAACCTGGGCTAGTCCTAACATGGCTGACTATTAGTATCATGAGCCTGGTTAGTCTAATCTTGATCCTGACTTCTTCTAATCCCTAGCTTACAATCAGTACCAAGAGTTTGGCTTGGCCTGGTCAAATGCATACCTGAATATCCGAGAACAACAGACTGAAACAAGCAATCCACGAGGAGATATTCCTCTCCGTTTGTAGATCAAATGTCCCTTGAGTATCCAAAAAGAAAACCACATGTTTTCCCTGAAATCTATGTAATTTTAATCGTCACAATTTCTCTCTTATCCATTTCCTTGGCTCAGAAATCATTTCAACGCCAGAATTTTCATTTCTGAACGAATTTCTTGGTACACTCTTATCACTCCTTGACGTTCACTCATCATTGAAAAGTGGTAAACAAAGAAAGCTTGCCTTTTATTTGAAAGTTTACAGAGTCGAAAGTTCAAAGGTTCTGCAAGAGCGCAATCCACAAATCAATAAACCCACAATTTGAACTTTGATTTATCTACCTTACTCTAAATCTAAGTCTCACTCACATCTTCAGAAATCATCGATTGAGTGAAAACGAGAATCCCCACCGTGCACCGCTCATACCCGGTCTTGAAGGCTCCTCTGAAAGTCAAAGTCTTGAAAGTCAAAAATGGCTCTTAACTGGTATTTGTGTGACTCTTACGCTGCTCACTTTGTATTGAAAATCAATTTGCATTTAAGAATGAGTGGCGTAAGAGTCATAAGTATGCTATGGCGAACCTGTGACTCTTAGGTCGCTCATTTGTGATCACTTAACTGATTTAGCAAACTATTACCACTACATCCTTACGAGTTAGACTCATTTATTCTTTGCGATAAGGTCATAAAATTAAATGAAAATAGCTTCTTTTGAACGGAAATTATGCAGAGCAAAGTGGGGAAGTTTAAATGCAGATTTTCTGAGAAAAGTGGAAAACTTTAAATGCAAATTACACTGGGCAAAGTGGAGAAGTTTAAATGCTAATCATACTGAACAAAGTCGGCTAATTTAAATGCTAATTATGCTAAGCAAAGTGGCGCAGCAGTCACAAGAACCTCTTAACTTGTAGATTGTATCCAGCTAGAAAATTACCGTAATCTTATCTCTAGTTTACCCAATCTCTCTACTTTTATTCTGATTCTGCAATGGTTCACAAAGGATATCAAAAGTAGATGGATTGAATAAACGAAAGACCAGGTTACAGTAGTTGAGTAAAATCGATACATTTTTAGGAAATCAAGGTCAATTCTGTGAATTGCACTCTAAAGGCTGACCTGACTGTGTTTCCTTGTCGCCCACCAGTCAAAATTGACATCAGAAAGCTTTTGCCAGATCGCGATGGTCCCATTACACTGACCAGAGTGATCTGAAGCAAGTTGACCTTAGAGTTATAACTAGGAATGTTGCAACTGTGCCTTAGAACTAGAAGAAGCTAATCGGAAGTCGAAGCCTGGGTTCTGGTGGTAGCCAGAGCCGGAGGAACCTTGCGTCTACAGTTACAGGCTACTCAATGCGATTGCTTTTGAAAGTCACCAAGGGCTTCAGCTCGTTTTCTTCCATCTAGAAATCGAATTTTATTCGATTCAACATCCAATAACTTGATTGATCAAAGTGGAAACTATTTAAAGTCTTTCGGTGCTCATTTTCTGGCATCTTTCACATTGATTTCTGGAATTTATCTTATTTTTGAGTTTAACATCTTAAAACATATTGAATTGAAGAATTCAGTGCACCAAAGAAAGTGTTTACATTTTTTTTGAGTACAATGCACGCTAGAAAGCGCAAGAAGCAGTGAAAGTTTAAATTAAAATCAAATTTGGAACTTTTTCACATAAAAAATAGGATTTAAACCCAGTTCAAGGTCATCAATTGAGAAAAAAAGCAAAAAAAAGCATAGTTTTCTTGTGCAATAGAAATCACAAAAGAAAAAAGCTCAAAAATGAATCTTTTTAATAAAGAAATCGATATTTCAATAAAATTAACAATTTAAAAACAAAAATATATTAATTTAAACTATTGTTGATTTTTTTCAAATTAATTTTCTTTCTATACGGTAAGCTAGATTAGGTAAGCTAGAATTTTCTATGGCACCTACAAACGCTGTCGTAGCCTAGTTTGCTCTACCGTATCTAATTCCTACAATAGCTACCGTAATCTTTACTTTGATAGATAGAACACTTATATCTCAAGATCATTCAACTTTCTTCAGAAAATTTTCTTGCAACACATTTTTCGTCAGCTATTTTTCTCAGCTCAGCGATAAAAACGATAAAAATTTGATTGCTAAAGAAAAATTTTTGAGTCATACAACGGTATTTGGGGAAAATTTGATCAAAAACAAAAATTTGAACATTTTTCTGCAGAATCAGTTTATCTTCCGATGTACTTTGTGTAAATGTGTAAACGTACCCTTTCTGGTACACCTGATTTATTTGTTTTTTCCGACTCAACTGGCACACTCGATTTAGTTCCTTTTGTCCGATTCTACTTTCATCAATCAGCTGTTTCCAATTTCTCTTACTTTGTGCTCCTTTTTAAGCTCCCTTTCTGATGCACTTGATTCCTCACTTTCTTTTGACATTGAACTAGAAATACTAGAAATTAAGTGAGCTAGAAGGAGTGTGCTTAGAAACTTTTCGAGTACAAAGTACACCTGTCGATTACAGTCCAATTTGTGAGTCTTTTTATTTCGCAAGTTTTTGAATGCTCGGCACAAAGCGATTTCCCTGTTGCCATAGAATTTGATATCTGTGTGAGGCTAGAAACGTTCAAAATTCATTTTCAGCCTTGACAACTTAGAGTATCCTTTACTGGCTTTAAATTTTAAGCTAAATATTTTAAAATTTAAAGCCAGTAAAGGATACTATAAGTTGAAAAGGCTAAATATCTTCGTTCTTAAACCTTGATTACTGTACTGCTATTGATTTTCTAAATGGTAAACTAGATTAGGTAAGCTAGGATTTTCTATGATATCTTTTCTATGATCTACAAAATCTATCATGGCCTAGTTTGCCCTACCGTATCCAATTTTTACAATAGCTACCGTAATCATTACTTTGATAGATAGAACACTCATATCTCAAGAAATTTGAGAGATTTGTTTTGAGATTTGTTTACACTTTGATATTTTTAATGTTTTAATGTTTTAAAGCTTTTTTCTAGAATGCGTCGAACTCGAAGCCAATCCGAGAGCTCGAGCAGCGAATGGGAAGTGGAAAATGGCGTCGAGAGAGAAGTGCCGATAGCCGATGACGTGGATTTGCTCTTTGGGAATTACTTGGATCAATTGAAAGTGAGTTAAAGGCTTAAATCGAAATCTTTATAAATTAACTAAGGAGTACTGTAACTTGCATGAACTGGAGGCCTTTAGTTTCGTTCTGCCCACTCTTTCTTTGCCATTCCTTACTTTACATGATTACTAATGCCCGTGTTCTGCCCAAGATTGTGCAGAGTCGAGTATTTCCGTCTCTTTCTTGCTTCCTCTTCCCTCATGTATTTCCTCTTCCTTCTCTGACATATAGCTCAGTAGTAGAGCATCTGCCCGGTAAACAGAAGTTCGAGGGTTCAAGTCCCCTCGGTTTCAAATTCTTTGCTATTCATTTCTTTACTTTATTGCAGTTTACAGTAGACAATCGCATTGAATCGAATTGAATAATTGATCAAGTATTAAGAGCCGTTTTAGGGGTCCCTTTAAGAGGTTAACTCAAGCCTCGATTTCTAAGCGGTAAAGAGTAAAGAGCTCTAATATGAGACAAACGACTGAGGTTCGAGTCTCGCTGCAGTATTTTCGTTTGCTTGCATGACTTTTTCCAAGTGTGGTCTATAAAAAGTTATGAAGAAAGTATAGAGTTCAAGTTTTTCAATGAAAAGTAATTTCTTGAACATTTTGTTTAGGTGATCGACCATTTCCCTAATGAAAGTGAGGTAACGAGAGAAGCCTACCGCTATCAAGCGCAAGAGGTATCGATTTTTGTTCTCTTTTTCAGTGCTTTCAATTCCTCAACAAATTTGCGATCGAATAAATATATGAGAAATGGAATGGGAAAAGATTAAGATCATAAAACGCTTATCATTTCCCCAAAACGATATTTTTCGAAAGGAAAATACGGATGGGCGAACTTTTGCAAGGATACGAAACAAAAAAATGTTTAAAAGAGATCTTGATTACTGACTTTATTTTACATTTTCATAAATAGCATTGAAATTTGGTCTAGAATCTCTTCTCAGCCGTCGGAAAACTCGATAACGTGAACACAGCGCTGAAAAAAGTGAACTATTTGCTGCAGAGAAAGGTTTGCTTTATCGGAATTAAAAAGGTTTTTAAAAAATTCATTTTAATTCCAGAGATCCACCGATTTGAATCCACAAATTCTTCAAGAAGTGCACCGATTGAAGCTCGAGCAACAGCTACAGTTGGAGGGATCAAGTGTGGAATTGATCGAAGAAAGGATTCAAGTACTCGATGACACGGCTACGGTAAGTTTTAAGCTTTAAATAGATTAGATAAACTTCTACTAGATAAAAGTCTTTAGAAACGTTTTAAAAAATCTCTAGATATTGGTTTGACCTTGAATTTGATTGGTTTGATTTGATTTGATTAAAAGTTGAGCATTTAATGAATCTAGTTTAATCTTTACAAAGTATCTTTACAAAGAACCTACTAAAGAATGTTAGATAAAGAATTGAGTATGCTAGAGACGGTGTGTTTACGTTTAAACCACAAAGTACATTCAGCCTTGCTTTCAGGAGACATCAACCGAAGGAAACGAAGATCCACAGCTAAATCCGGGAGATGACAAGGAGCCAAATATTGAGGTAATCTTACAATAAATGACACACAATTTTGAGTATAAATAACTTTTACATACAAAACAAATACAAAAGTTCAGCCAGAAACGAATCTCGTTCAATTATTCGATATCACTGAAGACGGGGAAACCATCTTCAAGAAAGAAGTCCTCGACGATCTCTGTGATCAGATCGGTGATAGACCGGTTGGTTCTTGAAAATGAAAATGAAAATGTGAAAGCTAAATGCTTTTGAAAACCTAGATACTTTGCAAACTAATTCTAAAGATAAAAACCTTTCAGGTTGCCATCATTTCAACAGCCGGAAAATTTCGACAAGGGAAAACCTTTTGGAACAATGTTTTGTTGAAAGGGCTTCAAGAGGGAAATGCCGATTTTAAACCGACTGACTATATTGGGTATTAGATTTAGAACTAGCTACATGCTTAGCTAGGTACTATACGCTGTTACAGTATTCTTTAGTTACAGTATCTCTTAGCTACTGTATACTTCTGTTACAGTATCCTTTAACTACAGTATCCTTCAGCTACAATAGAATACGGTTAGCTAGTGTAGTTTTGTACACAAATAAGTACAGTGCTTGAGGTTGTCCAGGTAAACTTTTACAATCAAATCCATTAACTAGACATTAGTTATATGCAAATTTACATAGAATTTTGTTTTAGCGGTCATGACGGTATCCGTTTTCAATCTGGATACATTCGGCACACAAAGGGGATCATGGTTTGGCCAAAGGTTTTCATCAGAAAGGATAAACAAGGAAATGAGGTATAGAAAGAATATAGATAATTTCCATTTAAAATATGATAACATTGACATTCTAGCTGGCCGTCATCCTCATGGACACTCAAGGCACATTTGACACGACGAGTGACATGATCGATTCGGCAATTATCTTTTCGATCTCACTCCTTATGTCTTCCATCAAAGTAAAACTTGTTTTGAGGTTTCAGTTTCAAAGAAGTTTAAAGATTTTCAATGTTCGAACGCAAATCGACGCCCAGGATCTGGATTCGCTGAACCTTTTCCTTGCCTTCAGCCAAAGGACCGATGAAAGGGCGGGACAGGTAAATATTCAATCTAGAAGTCAGTTACTATTTTCAAATACAAAAAATTTCACTTCCAATAAGGCCTAGCAGCTAGATATGACCTGGTCCTGTCATGAACTGGCTTAGCCTTAAGATAGCTTGTCACTAGCCTCGTCTGGCCTAGCTAGACCCTACCGTTGCCTAGACTTGTCCAGTTCTAACTTACTATGACCTTCAGCTTACTATTAGTTCTTAGCCTAGCTCAGCTCGAGTTGACTCTAAAAGCTCTAAAGCCGACCCTGGCCCGGTTCTGGTCTGCTAATCTTTATCAACAATCTTCCAGCACTTCATCATCATGATCCGAGACGCACTCGAATCCGGCTTTCAACCATCATACATTGAGACTCTTCAGGTGGGTCGAGCTTCAAATTTCAGGAAGTTTGAGGAGAAATCTAAAGTTTTATAGGCTCAAACGAGACGAGCTCCTGAATTGAAAAAGCTACTTGAGGGGATCTTTTCGGCTTTCGAGAAAGTCGAGTGTTTCATGGCGAAAACCCCGAGTGAGCATGTGCTGAATGCGAGTGGGGAGATTAGAGCTCAAGGTATCGAATAAATTTGAAACAATGGCTAGGGTTACGGTAGCCGATCCAGAGACCAAAGGGTTAAGGTTACCGTAGTTCTCAATAAACAATTACAGATTGCGGTGATCGATTCCTGGGAGATCTCTGCGAATGCGCAAATCACGTGCTTGAGAATTTGGTCCCAAAGACGTTCATGGGAAATCATCTCACAGGGAACACGTTGAAGCGATACGTTGAGGTTGGCGAAATTTCTATTTTACAGAATTGCTTAAAGCTTGATTATCTACTAGCTTTTTTAGAACCTCGTCGATCACATCAAAGAGAACAATCACAAGGCGATCGGCTCAGCTTTCCAGGTCAGTTTCACTATCTTTGATCAGCTACAAGTCATCAGTTAGGTTTTATGCCATTATCATAGTCAATTCAAATCATCTATAGGCTACTTCCGAGCTCTTCTTCGAAAAAGCCAAAGCAGCCGCAGCTGAGTACTTCGCCGCAGCACACGATCAGGTAACTTCAAGCTTTTTCAGGCTTACGAACTTTTTCAAACGCCACCGATTCATGCCTTAAAACGTACCGTAATCTAAGCCCATTGATTGTCTTTACAGTAATCCTTATACTATCAAATATCTGATAACTTGTCTAGCTGATGCGCGGGTCCGGGCATCAGCCAATAAATCCAAAAGAGTACGAAGAGACACTCAAGAAATTCGTCGATGAAGCACTTCAGGTAAAAAGAGCATCATAAAAAAAGAGAAAAATTTGATCTAAAGCTTTAGAATAGAGCTGAAAACCAGAAATATATTCATTAATATTTTCAGGAATACAGCTCAAAACCACTCTTTGGGACTCAAGAAGTTAAAGAGAAAACTTTCTTGGCGTTGAAGGAGTCTTTAGAGGTGAGTGGAATGGAATTGGTGTTGGAGTTTGGTAAAGAATTTTATTATCAGAGATTTTTCTAATATTATTGTCAGCTTTAGAAATAACACTATTGAATCTTTAAATAACTTTGGATTAACTGTCTCCAGAGCTAGCTATTGGGTTAGTGATTTGAAAACTGCGGGCTATTTCGCGGGACTCGCAGGTAAAAAAAACAACAGCATTGAACCAGCTGAACGGGGGTTTGGTTACTTCAACATTTCCTCCAATTATTGCAAAAAAATTATGCTTCCAGCTTTTTATTTTTTGGTATTTTTCTTCACTTCTAATGCACAATCTGCCACCAGGACATATTCGTCATGTCATGCTTTATGAGTTCCTACAAGAGCACAGTGCAGGCTTGGCAGCTCCTAATATTAAAAAGATATATGGGGAGGACTCACCTTTTGAAAGAACGTATCAAGTATGGTTTGCCAAGTTTCGTTCTGGGGACAAATCTTTGAAAGATGCAGAGGGCCGTGGAGCGGCACCCCAACTGGATGATTCCAAATTACTCGAACTCATTACCAACGACCATCGGGTATCATCGCGTGAATTGGGAGAAGAGTTAGGGGTTGATCATGTTACAGTGCTAAATCACCTACATACCCTTGGATTTAAATCGAAACTTGGGGCTTGGGTGCCCCATGACCTCACTGACCCCCAGAAGTGGCAGCGCGCGTCCATTGGTGTCGATTTCGGAGGAAGCGGCAATGGGTGGGGTCAGCCGAGAAACCCGAAAGTGACCCCAAGCCCGATTTGCACCAGACGAGGTTTATGCTCTGCGTTTTCTGGGATATGGAGGGAGTGGTATACTGGGAGTTGCTGGATAGCAAGACGACCCTTAATGCAATCAAATACAGTGAACGGTTGGGAAAGGCGAATGAATCCTTGAAGAAGAATAGGCCCTCCAAGTCAAAGGTCGTTTTCATCCACGACAACGCGCGCTTTCATGTTGCAAAACTGACTCGCTCTAAAATAAATAGCCTTGTTTGGGAACTTTTGGCGCATTCCTCATACAGTCCGGACCTCGTCCCTTTTGATTACTATTTATTCCGGATCATGAGTAATGAGCTTGCGAGAGAACACTTCGATTCGGAAGAAGCAGTCAAAAATTGGCTTTGAAAGTTTTCCGCTTCAAAACCAAAATCCTACCACGAAAGAGGAATCCGCAAATTGCCTGTAAAATGCGCAGAAGTCGTCAATAATAATGGAAATTATTTGGAATGAATTTATGGTTTTATGTCGAATAAATTTTAGTTCAAAGCCCCGCAGTTTTCAATTCATCAACCCAATATAAATCAAGTAAAGTAAAGCTGAGCTGATGCAAAATAATAATCTTAGATGAGATGGGTTTATATGATTTTAAGCCTTCAATATTAGTTAACTGAATATCATTTAACTTATATTATTATTAGATATTAATTCACTGGATAGTATCTCTGAATGTTAGCTTTTGTTTTAGGCAAAATGCCAAGAGAAGCTGCTTAGCAATCGGAGCCGTTTCCGCGACTTTTTGATGGCCGATGCCGTGCATCAAAGCTCAGAGTTGTACGAGAAAGGGATGAAGGTATGAAAATGAATTTGTCTTTTCTTCAAATTTAATATTCAGCCAGACTTCGGGGATTCCCTTCTCGGAAAAGCTACCGTTGAACAAGTGAAAGCTCGACACGAGAAAGCCTTTCCTGAAGCAATGTCACTTTTTGAGAATGGTTTGTCATTCTTAGATTTATAGACTTAGATTTGAAGCTTTAATTTTAAGATTTATAGCTTTAGATTTTAGATTTAGATTTAGATTTAAAGATTTAAGTGTACTTTTTCTTAAAAATATAGAAACACCACCAATCTAGCGCTCCTGTTTTCTTCTTATCGAAATAACTTGCTTTATGAAAGGATCGGTGCACCAGAAAGGCTGTGTTTACCGATTTAAGTACAAAGTACACATCTGATTTCCAATTATTGTTATTGGTGTTAAAACATTGAAAATTGATCAGAAAACTGATCAGATTGACGAGTATTTTGAAATGGAAACACGCCTTTTCTAGTTCACCAACTTGGCACTTGAAAGCTGTCAATTTTAGTGCACCAGACATGGTGTGTTTGCAGGTTTAATCACAAAGTACATCTTTAGTTTCTTGTTCTAACAAATATCCGTTTTTTTTCAGCTGTTGAGCCTTTCAACGATGAGGTGGATTTGATCAAGCGTAAGAGGAATCTTCTCACGAAGATGATTTTGGTTGGTTTAGAATTTGATACAGAAATCTTAGAACTTGTAAATGTTCACTGGTGATCGTACTTTTAAACTGATTTCAAGTCATGAATTCAGACTCGTTTCGAGGATCTCCAGAGTGACAACCTCGTCGTTCAACTCAACGCATCTTTGGATTCAATGATCAACGCGCTTGCAGACAATTACGGAAAATTTTTGAAAGAGGTGGCTAGCTTTTTGCTTTTGTAAACGCACACCTTCTGGCAACCTAATTCACCCAATTTCAGCAAGTTCCATTGGCCAAGAAGTTAGACGAAATCGGAATGTTTATCGAACGCGGGATGAATGCTTTGAATACAAATTTTGAAGCAAACAAGGTAAACTGCAGGAATTGGCAGCCTTGCTGGCTTTGCTCCTGACATTGTCGGGACTTCAGTTACCTTTCAGTCAAAGTCAAAGATCAGTCGATGCTTGGCTATAGCCAGAGATTCCAGTGGTAACTGATCTTAACTTACGCTAGGCAAGATCAAATCTTTTGGAGAATTTGAAAGAAATCTAGTCAAGCCAGGCCAGATAAAATCATCACCAGAGTCATAGTAGCTTTTTGTTAATCCGGAAATAGTTTTTTTTTTGAATTAAAGCTAGTCAGCCTTAGATCTGAATTCCATTCTTCGCCAGATTCCGAGGAGAAGCCTTGGATTGATTACCTACTATAGAGATGGCACTAAACGACCAAAAACAACACACTAGAAACGCTTCTAACTTGCTATCAATCTACCGGATTGAGGTATCTATAGCTCAAAAAATAGAGAAATAGAGCTTTCGAATGGACTAAAGTAGACGCTAAAATCTCAATCCTAAAGAAAGTTACAGTGGTTTAAAGTTGAAATGGGCCGTACTCGAGCGTAGTCGAGCTACTAACTATAACTTTCTTTAGCATTCATCTTTTTGAGTGTGCTTTAGTTCATTCGAAAGCTCTTGAGATTCTCTATTTTTTGAGCTATAGATCGTCTCAATTCGGCAGATTAATAGCAAGTTAAAACCGTTTTTAGTGACGTTTGTAGTTACCGACAGATTTTGTGGCTAGGTTTGTAGCTTGTAGTGCTCTTGTCTAGCCTATAACTAGACTATTACATTTCAGGCTCAATTCATCATCGATATTTCTCAACTAATGCCGAAAATTGATTTGAACATGCTCCGTCAAATGATTGACAACTTTAAGGATGCGAAGGGAGCGCTGTTTAAGGTAAAGATTGATTGTAGATTGTTAAATGTCAGTTTCAGCGATGTGAGGATCACTTTGAATCCGCGGTTCGTGCGCATTTCAACATGGAAAAGCTGAGGAACAAGATCATCGATATGAGATATCGACAAAACGAAGCACAGAAAAGATTGGGGCTGAACAAGTCCTCAGAACGTAGCAAAGTCAAGCCAGGCCAGGCCCGGAAAATCGCTTTTATATCAATACTTTATTCATGTAAGCATGAAAAAGTGACAACGGAAAATGTCTTTGAAATAATTCTGGCTAGAATCCAGATTGGTATGGGTTTATTGATTGGTTGTACCGGTAATTATCTACTCACCAGACTGTAAAAGAAAAAGATCCAGTTGTCGACGAGCCCTTTGTCAAGCAGCTTAGGCAATTCCCCATGTTTGTCATACTTGAAAAGAGTCCTCGAGAAAAAGTCGCGTTTACTTTTCGAGTATTCGATGAGTGCCGAGATTTTCGCAATGCTCAATGGGCCACACGCGAGCAAATCGTGAAACATCTAAAAGTTCAAAAGTTTTTAGCTAACTTCAGGAAAGTATGTTCTTCACTAGCACTTTTGACTGGCTTATTGACCGGTGGAAAATCCATGATGTAAGTGACAATAAAGTTGACAAATCTCGCACCAACCTCAGCCAACAACTCGTCGAACACATCTCCGACCCGTTGCGCACAAATTTTCTTCTTTGTCGGCTAAATTCGGCTTTCTCTATTTAACCAAACTGATCAATTCACCTTCGTTTTCCGTCTGCGCAACACTTTTCGCTTGAGCGAGCTTTTGCGCGTCCGTCCATTTTGGGTCCTCCGTACGACGAATGAGCTCATTCTAAAGTTGATATAGCAGCTCCGTTTGATAATTTACATGACTGTATCCAGGTTTTAGATTAGACTTTTTAAAGCCTTTTTTTCAAAATTGTGAGCCTGCAGAAAATCCAGGTCATGGCTTTGATTCTGGTCTGGTCATAAAAAAAAATTGGCTCATGAGCTAACAACTGTTAGCCAGGGTCCGGGTTCACCATCCGCAAGATCGCAAGATTTTGGACACAAGTCTGGTTCATAAACTAAACTTGCGAGTTCGCAAGTTATGTGACGCAATGCCTATGTGAAGTCGCAAGTTGCAAATCCCAAGCCGTAAGTCACAAGTCCCAAGTTCGCCGGTTTGCAAGTTGCAAGTTGCAAGTCCTAAGTCCTCGCAAGTTGGTGATGATGAACCCGGATCTTGTCTTGTCCAGGTCTTGGACTGGCTACTGGATCTCTCTTTGCTGCAGGCCCAACTCATAAATCTCCTGACAGGCCTGTCTGTAAGCCCGTTAGAAGCCTGACCTGGCCTGGCCCGGTTGAAATGACCCAATTTCCGGAAATGGATTCACAACGAATCCAAAAATAGTTAAAGATATAATAGACAATATTCGTTTGAGCAAAAGGTCAACATTTTTGAGTTTTTTCTAAAACATCCAATCATTGAGTGCTCAATGAACACATACCTCGTATCCCCGAACGTTGACTTCAATTCCATCGTGTTCTCGCATGTAGAGGACGCACTCGGTGTGAAATTTGTGCACAAAGTACATCATGACTATCGAGTCGATTCGAATCTCACACCACGCCGCATACTCCTGGTAGATTTCTTCGAAATGTCTCTGCTTTTCTTTTTTGTCATCGATTTGCTGAAACGTGACTTTTCTTTGCACAAAATTGGCTCAACCTCTAGAATTGCTTTCAAAACGCCGAACTTGATGTCCATCTCGTGGACAGCGTCGTCAACTAGCGTTTTCGAGACATATCGGTCGATCTCTGTGTCGGAGATTTCCTCTGAAGTATGTTTATGACAATATTAGCTGTAAATTAAACCGTATTCTGGTGAGACAGGGCGTGGAAAGTTGGTTGGCAATGAAGCACTAAATGACAAGATTAATTTGGTCGCTTCCTTTGCTTTTTGTTTTGTTTTAATTATGATCTTCTAAAGCGGGACTTTAGCATTGTGTTCCCGTCAAGATAAATGTAAATTTCTCCAGTTTGTCTCTAGTTGGGGAAAGGTACTCGAAAAATAGTATAAATGGCTTTATTAGGTTTATCGTCATTCATTCTGGCTCGAATCTATTCAAAAGCCATCTAAAATCTAGGAAAAATCTGCTAAAATTCAATGATAGAGTAAGAAATCAAAGTTCAATTTGCCTATTAATTTGTTGGCGGGGCAAAGGTGTAGAAGTTCCGTTAAAGCTCTGACTTTAACAAACCTCCGTGAATCTACTAGAGCCCCATTTGCATAGGTTGTTTCCTTCGAAGCTTCGAATCTTTGTCTTGTCTTTTCCATTGCCGAATCATCCACTATTTTTTTTTCTTTCTTCAATTCAAATTCTTGCGAGGGTTGTGAAATAGGTTTGTAACAAGGCGGTGGTCGATGATTTCCCATTAGTTCCGGAGAAGTTTCAGCACTTTCTTTTTCCTTTTCCTCTTTGAACATACCCAGCAGATTCAGAGACCCATTTGATTGCGTCTTACAAATTTCATGCTCTTCCTCCAGATCATTTTCCGAATCAGAAGCAATAGCGGAATAATTTGCGGAATCGCTTTTCTAAAGTGAGCCAAGATTCGCTAGAATTAGTCTCAAACCTGGATCTCGGCAGCCAATTCAGCTTCGAGCTTGGCTTTTTTGGTCTCTGCGATTTTCTTTGAGACAAGCATGTTCCGACAAGTCAAACCCGTTTTCTAAAAAGATAGTGAAGGAGAAATTGGAATTTAAGAGTGATAATCTTAGTGCTCAGCGCTTCCTAAAGCAAATGATAAAAGTTCTTTCTCCTTTTTCAGTTGAGCAAACTCGTTTTTCTTTTCCAAAATCATTTCGTATTGTAAAAATGTTTTTATGATCTCTTGGTACTATCAAAATACTTTTACATCGTTTTCTCGCCAACCAAAAGAAAATAAATGTAAATCTCCTCCAGATCTCTAGTTGGATAAAGATCCAAAAAATAGTATAAATTTACAGGAAACTGGATTTAACAGGTAAACTTGGGCAAACTAAACCATTTGAAGTCGTTCAGTTACCCAGTTCAGTCACAGAATGAATAAAGCAATGAAATACCTTTTTTTCTCACCTCAACCTTTGGATCCAACAAAGCGTGAACTTCAGCAATGAGATTTTGCTACTTTTTACCTTTACAGTCGTTTCAAAGCTCTCAATGGCATCATCCAAAACGACTTTCGTGTTCATCTCTCTCATTCGTTCCGTTTCGCGCCTCAACGCGAGATTTTTTTCGATAAGATCAAGAGACTGGATGTAAATCTTCTGAATAAGTAGATTGATATTTGATTCAATATTCGATTGATTGCAATTTGCAATCAAATTTAGCTACTAACCATCAATTCTATCTGGCATTTCTCTTCAATCAATCCCCATTCCTTTTCAGGTAACTCTTGTGAATCCAAAGTTTTTCTCAATTTTTCGATCATCAATTTGACTTTTGGGTTGGTTGTGGGTTGGGAGATGTTGTGGCAAATTATTCAAGTTTAATGCTTTGAGCTGGAGGTCGGCCCTTCTGGACTAAAGTGCTTTCTAAAGTGGGACAACTTTTCTACTAAAGTTTCTACTAGTGGGTCAATTTGAAAATTTTGAATCATACCCTTGAAAACTTCTGTAAACTTGCCTCGTTATTATCCAAGTACCCGGATCTTTGGATGCTCGCCAAATCAGAACAAGTTTAATTGGATAAAACTAGGAATCGATATTCACGTTAGATTACGGTAAAGTGGGCAAGTATTAGACTGAAATGCCGGTGAAAAAAGACCCGTGGGGGCCTACGGTAGCCGTGGGGCACGGTTTAGCATTCAGCATTCAATAATCTACAGTACGCTTTCAGAGGAACGATTTGTGTTACGAGCAGATGCAAGATTTTGTCTACAAAGTCGTCCATCGGTTGTCTATTCAATTCCATCCGTCATTGATGCAATATTTGGATGAGAATTTTCAAAGATCTGTGCG